ATTAGCTGATTGAATTACAATTTTTTTCGAAAATGTAGAATCCTAAAAAGTTGTTTCTATTTTAATATTTAATTAGATCATGAGTAAAAAATATATGCACCAACCGCTCTATCCCGTGCGTATGCACGGGTACTATACTAGTGAGAACTATAAATCTCAACTTTTCTTTTATTGCAATCATTGATTATGATTCACATGGGGTCATATTCATAATTACCCAAATTCAAATGTGGTTCTTATGCAATTAATCCACCTTGTCATTATTAGCCATTGATGATAAAAATTGAATGATGGAGATTAGAAGTTCCCATTTTAAAATGAGTTCTCATTTTAGAATTGGTTCTCACTAGAACCCTTCCCTAGTCAACTATATTCAAATACATAAACATAAAGTTTGAAATTTTAATGCATATATACATCTGCCTAAAAAGAAACTTGATAATTTCTTGAAGTTATTAACCATCAATAAGAAAACATTTCATAAAGTAAATAAACTAATGGATATATAAACCTACGTGTGTATTTAAACTATACAATTTTACACAATATATGTATCGATAAAAGATTATTTCAAGCTACACAATACATGTATCATATATAAACCTATGTGTGTCAATTCATTTTCAATTCATTTTCATTTACCCCAGTGCCGCAAAGGCTCCCACCTACGGTGGGGTAAGAGGTGGTCAGATGTACGCAGTCTTACCCCTGTACTAAAGCACAGAGAGACCGTTTCCGGATGACCCATAGTGAAAATCGCGTCCAAAATTGCATGGACTGACTGCTGCTTCATAACAAAGAAGCGCAGACAGTTTAGTGAGTCATTTTGCGTTATTCCATCATATTCTCAAGCCAAAAAAATATGAATCTTTGACTCCATTGCAAATGATGGAAATATATAAACCTATGTGTATTTACTTTAAATTCAAAGTTTAAAGAGACGTGTCGTCTCCAACTTATTGCTTGGAAGTATATTTGTAACACCTTGAGAACGATGTTTTTTTGTTTTTAAATAAATAATTCTTGATAATAAATACTACTTCCGTCCCACTAATATTGGGACGAGAGAAGGTGACACGATTATTAAGAAAAGTAGGTTTGTATGGCTGATATTAAATTAATAAAGTAAGAATAAAGTTAGAATGATTTAGAGCCACACAATCTTTACCAAATATGATATGTGACAATTTTAGCTAGTGGGACTTCCCGAAAAGGTAAAATGAGACAATTTTAGCGAGACGGAGGAGTATAAAACAATAATTAAAAAAGAGAACAAACAAATATACTTCTAAGCGATAAATAGTCATGACTTATTTATGGTGTATGGTTTTTACATCTATTACCATGAATGATTTATGTTGTATGTTTTTTTTTTGTATTTTCAAATACTATGTTTTTAATTAAACGAATATTTGACAAATAATCGAAAACAAACTTAACCAAAATGAATCAAAATGAACTTAACCAAACAAATGTTTGATTTTAAAGTTTACAAAATGAAACTACACTGAACATTTTCGTCCCATTTTTTTTTTGGTTTTACTCCGTATATAAAAACGGAAGCCACCTCCATGAGTAAAATACACCGTACAGCCGGCTGTACCGTGCGCACGGTACAACCGGTCTTTTTTAGGTCTTCTGCGCTTCTTCGATCTTCTTCCCTGCTTCTCGCTTGGCTTCTCCGATCTCCGTCCCTGCTTCGTCCTGCTTCTGCGGTGCTTGCGAAGAACTTCAAGCTCCAAGTAGGCAACTCCTCTGACAGCTCTCTTCTCCTCAAGCTCTCCTCTCGCCACTCTCTTCTCCTCTAGCAGAGCTACGCAAGAGACGGCGGCTCTAGGTGATTTCTTTGTTGGTCGGGAAGAAGTATGCAGGGAAGACAAATTGGAAGATGATTTAGGAGATTTGAGTTCATATTTCTTGATGACGAATCTGAAATGAGTTTATATTTAACTCAAATGAGTATAAGCTTAAAAAGAATGAACGTACACAAATAAATATCGAGCATATTAAAAATGAGTTTTATGTAAAACTCAAATGAGTATACAACCGAAAATGAATGAGCATACACAAATGATCTTTTGAATTTTTTATACTCATTTTGTGATTTATGTATGCTCATTTGGTACCTCTTTATACTCGTTTCAAACGTATCATATTAATGTTAAACTCAAATGAGTATAAGGTCAAAATGAATGAGCATACACAAATGGACTTTTAAATCTTTTGATACTCATTTTGTAAGTTACATATGCTCATTTGGTGTTATTTTATGCTCATTTAAAAAGAACAGACTCAATGTTCATCACAATCGCATAATGAAAATCATTGGCGATACTTTTCAAGTTGATGCTCAATAAAAATGTCTTGATGTTCAATTAAAAGTACTTATGATTTTCATATCAATTCTCATTTTATAAGTTATGTATGCTCAACGGGTATTCATGTTATGCTCATTTGTAATATGACATAACAATGTATATTTCAAAAGTATCATATTGCATTAAATTCGCATACTGGAGTTCATAAGAGTTGATTATAGATATAATTTAATAAGTTTTTTTAAAGAAAAAAATAAGGAAAAGAAAGTAAATTCGAAGAGATGAAGCAGAGATCACGATGCTCAATGTTATGCTTCTAATGCTCAACAAAATATGTCACTTGCTCACTAGGCGTGGTTTAATACTCATTTAGTACGAGACGCGAATTTCATATAAATTACAAAAATGCCACCGGCTGTACGGTGAGCACCGTACAACCGGTGGTACTATATACGCTTCCACCTCCATGGCTCCATTTGGTCTCCATTGGTTTGATATCGAAACAGAACCAACCTCTAATTTGATTCTTGTCAAAGTATGCAATTGACTAATGAGTAAATTACGAAAAAGTACCTGCGTTGTATAAATAGTACTCCCTCGTCCCAAAAAGGTTTGCCAAATTTCCATTTTTAGATGTCCCAAAAAGATTTGTCATTTCCATTTAAAGTAAGGAATATGTGGCTAAAGTTAATTCTCTCTCATCTACACAAATTTCAACCACACAATTTTTACTTTATTAATTCACGTGAAAGTCAAAGTTGACGAACTTTTTCGGGACGAAGGGAGTATACACAAAACTCCTCTAGTTGCATACACAGTCAATTCATTTGAAAAGAGACATGATTTGATGCCAAAATTCATTTGTGTATACAGATAATGTACAAATTTGTGTACACATTTTGTGAACATCAACAATTGCTCATATATTATTACTACCTCTGTCCTACCAAGTTTGGGATAATTCAGTTTATGATGCTTGACCAATGATAAGGTAAACAGATCCCTGTCCGCACTCAAATTATTTTTAGAAAATAAAAATTACATATTCACTAACTATATTAAAAATTTTACAAAGTCGTAAAAAGGAGAATCTGATAAAAATTTGAAGGGAATAATATTTGAGATCATTAGGAATATTGGAATGGGGAATTTATTCGTATAAGACCTAAACACACCAACTTTCCAAAATTCGGACTAAAGGTAAGCGTAGTATTAAACTACACTTGCTTTGACCATAATACCCTTAATTTTTATTACGCAACAGACCACCGTTCCATCTGGATCGAATATCCTCTCAAATTGAATAGCCATAACCTTCGATGGAAAAGTTTGCAGAAAATGCAACCGGAAAAACCGATTGGGAAGTAGGCGACCACAGAAGAATAGCAAGGAAACTCCGTCGGAGAACATTTAGACAGTAAGAGAACATTCGGCAAGGAGAAAGAAAAGACCAGAGGAGACATATGGCGAATACGAAAAAGGAAAAATACTCTGACAATGATTTCAGAACAAAGAGACCTAATAAAATGGAGAAAGGAAAGGATATTGTGCTTTCAGCTACTCAGGTAATCTATTCGACTTCATTAGTGAAAAGTAAATACGGAGTATAATTTTTTTCAATTCAGTCATTTTCAGGTTTATTCTCTGTAAATGAAGAGCAATATAACGAAATCAACTCAAATCAAGTGATGGACCACAGATTCGTAAGATTAATATTGATTTGTAATGAAGCCTCCCCACGAGTAGTTAAGCTCTTGTACGTTCGACAACGGAGAGCAAAAGTCTTTCCTGAAACATCCCTTGTTTGATCTCAGCCTGTATGGGCTGGTGACAGGCGGCGGCGTAGCGGGTTGAACTCCCTTGCCAAATCGACTTCACCAGATCCATCGATTTCTTATTCAAGCTGCTCCGGTCGACTTCATCGAACGCCACCGCCCGAGGTTTCTTCTTCCTCCTCTTCTTCCTCCTCCTCCTCATCGTCATCTTCTTCTTCTTTTCTGATTTTGAACATTGATTTTGCCAATTTCGAACTCCTATTTCATATTTTCGCATCAGGTACTCTGCAAAACTTTTGAAGAAACCAAATCTAAAATCAAAATTGCAAACACTAGACAGTACATAGACATTAAGTAGTCAGTAAACAGACAATAAGTTCTAATAATAGTTTAGTAGCAGGCAATATATAGACAATAAGTAGTCATTAAACAGAAAATAAGTTCTGATAAGTTCAATAGAATACTAGGTCACGTAAAACAATAGCTGAGTAATGGACCTGTGAAGCTTTGTTCTATGCAAGACGTTACCCATATTGACATCAAACATATTCCAAAGGCAATCTTGCAAAATGTCAAGTTTAAATTTAACCATGGCTTCCCCGTCTTGGAGTTTGCTCCAATACCCGTCAAATAGAACCTGGTAACCCGGAACGATACTATTCAAGAGCGAAGCCTTTACACGTCACATAATTCTGGATCGGGTATGACCCACGAATCCTGCTTCTGGAGCGCCTCCTCCAACCCAGAATTGAGGTCATCTGGAGTTTAGCGCATCTGGAGTTAGGTCAGTATTAAAAGGCAAGGGTAATTTAGGTTAACTTATAATTATGTTTCTTATTAAAATAGGAGTGTTACAGTTATACGAAAGTAAATTTTCATAGGAGGTCTTATTTGTGCCAAATAGCTATGAAATGGTCCTAATTTGAGCAATTTTCTCTATTGGAATTGTGGATAGGCTTACTCCCTGGGCTCCATCTCACCCCTACCCGATAACACTCCACTCCGAACTCCGTCGCCTTCCTCTTCTCCTCCGTACAACGACGTATTACCGCCGAGTCGGAAGCCCTCACCTCGTATCCGCGCAACATACGACACTTTAACTTTCCTTCTCCCTCAGAGGTGTACCGTATTCGTGATTCTCCTCAGGTTTGGCGTTTCTTGGTTGATAGACTAGTCCTTTATTATTAATTCTCACTGTAAAATGAACAATTGTGCTTTTAAACTCGAATTTTAGTTGAACGAGGGGGAAAAAACCTAGTGCTTGAGCTTCACGCAAACTTTTCTTCATCTGAAATGCTCCGCAGTAGTTTGCAGAAGGCATAGAATGCTTTTCCGCTTGATCTGTTACAAATTTATGCTGATATTGTATTGTGCGTGCATAAGGCGTTAAATACTTGAATTTCATTTCACAAAAAACAATCTATACCCCCTCGTTTTTGTTAGATGGACGATTTTGGTTCGTGTTGTCAAGAAACACAAATATAATTGTCTTCTCTAAAAAAAACAAATATAATTGTCAAGTCATGTTCTGTGTTGATGTTTGAGCTTATTTAGTATTAGAGCTGATGGTAATTGAGACGTTGTTGTAGCTAATAGATACTTTCAGACTGAAACTTTGTGTGAATGAAATGATTATTGTATTAAACAAGTAAAAAAATTAAAGGATGTTCTGTAGAATGGAAATATGACATAGATTCCACCGGAGGGGAATTCCACAAAGCTTCCATTGATTTAATGGATCCCTCCCTAACCTTCCAGTTATCATTTACTTCAAAAATAAAATTTAGGGAGTTTTTGTTCAATGTGTAAAATTCAGTTTCAATCAGATCAAGGCAGTTTGACCACATCAGGATAATGTCCTGATAATCTAATGTGATATCAGGCTGAGTAGAAAAATATTGCAAGTAGAGAACAGTTGATGTAAGGGCTCTTTGTTTGAGATTGATGGTGTCTGGGTAAGCTTTTCTTTAATTGCACGTGGATTGAGACATGGTGATTACATTGAGATAATTAATTTAGGGGGTTACTTGACTTAACAGTTAAACTTTTGAGTGAAATTAGACTTTACACCTAATTTTCAAAAAATTTAATGTGTTCACTCAATTATATGAAAAAAAAAATTTAATGTTCGCACTTCATTCCTTCGCAAAGTTTACAACTGATAGAGTGCATACATGTTCTTTCCTAAAAATGGGGTGCAAAGTCAAATTCTCCCTTAATTTATACGTGATTCTCATTTTTACCCTTTCGTGAAAATGTGAAGTTAACCAATGAAATACTCATATCTTGAAATTATAGAAATGAATTGCTTAATAGAAGCTAGACTTAGAAATAGAGAACAAAAATACACTTCCAAAGAAACTGGACCATCCTTTTGGATGTACTTTGTAATGGAAACCTGTCTTTGCGGGACAGAGGGAGTAATGGTCACTCAGTCACTCTCCATCTGCCCCATTTTAAGTCCCACTCTCCTTTTAGTTTGTCACACATGTGTGTCCACTTTTCGATTTCGGGCTCCACTCACATTCTACTTTTTCCAACTTACCGTTTTTTATTTGAAATGTTACCCTATAACTAAGTGGTTATGATTCCCTCCTAATTTTCATCAACTTGTAACCATCAAGTTGAGATTCAGATGGCTTCCTCTCCTTTGCCCTCGACGTTGGTTGAGTAACTATAGTCAACCACATTAGGCTCAAGGCAGGATAGAGAAAAAAGAGAATATGGGTAAAAAAAAACCTTGAAATAAGGATAAATGATCTTATCCTCTCTTCGTAATTGAAATAATTTTCACAATTGAACATTTTTAAAGATACTACGTATTATTTTGTTTGCTAAAGAATGTTATATTTGGTATTGCATATTTGGAACCTCCTACGCAAGATCATTGCTTTGTTTGCTACAGGACTAACAAACTGCAATCATATTTTTCAATCCTCTGTATATTTGAAACTCTTTATTGAAAAGTGTTGGTAATTGAGAGTGAATTTTGACAGGTCTAGTTATATAGCAATGAATATTTGGTTTCTGGATAATGTCCCGTGGTTTAAATCTTTCTCTAAGAAGGATATGGCTTCAACCACAATGTCCAGTACCATGCGAATACGGACTCCTAGACAAACTGTTCATATTGATATCAAGTTTTGGGAATGGCCTATATTTTCATTTATTCCTTGGGCAATTTCTGCCAGGAATAAGATTCAGATACCATCCACTGTCAACCAAAAGCTAAAACGTGGCCCACGAGCTCGTGGAAGAAGTGAACTTGTTTCTCAAAATTATATACGCTTCAGACCATATGTCTCCAAGGTTCCATGGCATACTGGTGCAAGAGGTTTTTTATCACAACTGTTTCCACGATATGGGCATTATTGTGGTCCCAATTGGTCAAGCGGGAAAGATGGTGGATCTCCGATCTGGGATAGAAGACCGATTGATTGGCTGGACTTTTGTTGCTATTGCCATGACATTGGTTATGACACTCATGACCAAGCTGAGCTTCTCAAGGCAGACCTTGCATTTCTCGAGTGCTTGGAGAAGCCTCACATGAGTACCAAGGGAGATCCTCATGTTGCTCTTCTTTACAAAACAATGTGTGTTTCAGGTTAGTAATAAACAAATGTCTCGTTGGCGCGCATTGGAGCCTAAAATGTCTGTTTTGTTAAGACTAAGATGGGGGGAGCGATATAATTTGCTAACATTCTGATTTAAATTTCTTAATTGGCTGACCTTCTGAGTTAACTAAAAAATGGCGATTTTTAGATAAACTAAAATTATATTTTAAAATGAAGGTAGAGAGTTGTCCTTTTTTTGTTTAAATCGTTTAAACCAAAAAGTACCTTCATTGCTACTTTTATATGTTCTGAGCTTATTGTACCAACCCTTCAACCAACATAATTAAATAAATTACTCTTCAGTGAAAATATTGTGCAAAAAGCTGAAAAAGGTATACACATACCTTAATTTATCGTGCTCTCAATGTTTTAAATGCAGGTCTGAGGAACATATTGATTCCTTACCGGCAACAACTCGTGAAGTTACAATCATGGCAGTTGCCTCTTCAGTTTGGATGGTTAAGCAATGTTAAATTTAAATGGCCAAAGCTACATGCATAACACTTGAAGAGAGAGTATATATCTCGTGTCCCAAATAAGCAATTAAAAAATCAGCAATATAAATAATGCTATTCTTTAGTCAGAAGCTATTGGCATTGTAAATAATGGAGTAATATCTGTGAAGGTGCTATAGCTAAAGACGAAATTATTAATGTTACAAAGGTTGCTTGATTTCCGATCTTTATGTTGTGTGCAATAATGTGTATTGACTATTGTGCATACTTAACATATCATAATTCATAATTTGTGTATACTAAAGATCACGTTTGTAATAATGAGGGAAATGACTATACTGGGGGGAGGGGAATATAGAGGGAAAAGACTACTATGGTCTATGGGAATTTATATTGTATTGCTTGAAAACATTTTAGATATGTTAGATATGATGTTTTTATTATTTCAATGATTTTTTTTATCTGCTATTGATTTTGTTAGATTTCTTGAGAGATGAGAATATAAGAATATTTGTTTGGACATTTATATAAAAACATTTCCCTGCATTTTCTTTGGGTGGGTGTTACAAAGAAGTGGCAGTTGCTTGGAGTTACAATAGCACGGTGGCGGCAATGGTGCTATATATGGTGGTGTGCTTATGATGGTGGTGAGTAGGTGACGGATTTACGGTGGTTGCACTTGTGACTTGTGAGCAGAAGTGGAGATGGGCCGGTTCGGGTATGATAACAAGTTAACAACGCCCTTGTGATGGTGTTGGACGGGGTGGGTAGCTGTAATGGATGCTAAGATGGTGAATGTGGTTGCGGCTGGTGGGTGTTGTTAATTGTGGTGGTGACCGGTGATGATAGTTGTATAAGACAATGGCGACTTTGTTGTTAATTAATGGTAGGAACTAGGAAGTGGTAGTAGAGGTGGATGATTACCACTACCCTCTTGGCTAGTTGGCTTCCTGTTTCTTCAAATTAGAGTTTGCGGGGTGTCTGATCCCCCTTTTTGTATTTCTTGAACGGTTAGGGACGAAGAGCCATCCTCTGTCTTGACGGACGATGGTTGCGCTCTCAATCGGGCAAGAGGATTCATCCTCCCTTGCTATTGTAGACACCATAATGAATGACTGAACTTGTGCAACGCATGAATGCATTGAGGGGGAATGTTATGCAGTGAATCAAAATCAATAAATAGTGTCCCAATATCATGAAAATTGCAATTATTATGATCGAAAGTGCAGTGCAGTAATGTAGAATTGTAGACCAATAACATTAGCACAAAATGTGGTAATGTATTTAATTGAATGCCAAATACTAGAGTTATCGAAAAAGAAATGAAAATAAGAAATATAAATTTCTAACGTGAGCGAGAAGAGAAGTAATGTTAATGGAAGTGTAGTGATTTTATTAGATGTGTTGTAAAGTCGAGCACTAACGCCAAAATGAAGTGTAATATATTTAATTCGACGGAAGCAATGCAAATGCACTTCTTAATAGTGTTATTTCCGTCCTTCAATATTTTAATATGACGATTTTTTTTTTGCTTTGCAATCATACAAATGATTAAAAACAAACACAAGTCATATTTAGGAAAGGATGACACCCCATCCCTGAGGGCCCCCAACACCGACCGGACGGCACGATGGGAGGATGTAAATTGGACTATAATCACAATCTGACAGATAGAGAGTGAGGCTCTGTCCCCGGACCCCGGTACTTGCAGAGGTCCTATGCATTTTTCAGCATATTAATCCCTCATTGCAGTTGCCGGGATTCGAACCCGAGACCTAACCCTTGTGGCACTCCCTTGCTACCAGTTGAGCTACGCCCACCCGTACAAGTCATATTTAGGAAAACTACATATGGTTGAGTCGTTTCTCAAGAATTTTCTTCTTCTTTGTCATATTCTTTGTGGAAAAACACATTTACTACTACTACTATGATATGTATAGTTGACATTAGCAAAATTTGGCTTCACTCAAAGGTAGAATATTGGAGATGCTTACAGTCTATAGCTAGACTTCCTTTAACATGGATTAAACCCGAGTCTCTATTCTCAAATCATTATTCTTTTAGAACACTTCACAATAGGAATTTTCTTAGGGCAGTGGTAAGTTGTATCATATCTTTAGAAAGTGAAGACTCAGTGTTACTGACTACTGTGTTAGTATTAGTGAAGAAATAATAAGATTTTTGAAAGTAAAAAGAAAAAGATTGGACGAGTCGTAGGAGAAACGCAAGCAGGAATGGGGAAGAAGGGAAAGAAAAAGGGAAAAATGGGAGAAGCAGCAGTAGCATAAAGCCCAGAGATTGTGGAAGAAAAGAAAAAGAAACATGTATTTATCTTATCTTAATCTTAATAGTTAATACGATAGTATAAAAGAAAAAGATTGGAAAATACTACGTATGTTTTCCCACTAACTGACAGAAGTAAGAAGATTCTAGATTTGGAAAAGAAAACTTGAGTGAATTTCTTCTCTGACGATGGTTGGCGTCTTGGCGATTCAATTTAGTTGCTTTGTTAATTAAGAATAAGATACTACGTAATTATCGTTAAATGTGGGTTCAAGTTTTAAGATGAATTAAATACTCATTTTATCAGTATAATTAAATACATTCATATTATCATGAATGAATATTCACATAGTCCACCATAATTCTTCACCATATTAATCTTTGTATTTGAGACGATAAAGTTTAATCATTTAGAGTCCGTTTGATGAGATTGAAATGAATTGAATCGACTGAATCTAATGAAATTGATAAAGATCTACCTGGAGTGAAACATCCGTGCAGGAGTAAAACATAAAAAAGTGCAAAACTATGAGTTGAATCATCTGTGAAGTTTAATAGGAGTAAAAAGGAATGAAGTGACAAAAGTATACTTAATGAATACTTTAATTTATTTATTAAATATATAACATAAAATAATAAATTAAATGCATTACACATATTTCCCCCCTCAATCCCACAACCACAAGTTGTCGTCGACACTCGGCACCACCCAGGGACCACCGCCAGTCACCGTTGGCTGCTACCAGAAGCCTCCACTAGTCGCCTTCGGACGCCGCCACCTCAGCTCTCGCTGCCACCACAATCTCCATCTCTAATCTCCATCTCTATCGCTACTTCTGCCGGCGTCGCAGCTACCAGGTGTCTCCGCCGCTGGTCGCCGCCATTGATGTTAGTCATCGATGCCACCATCTACATCACTGTCGCCTCCGCTGCCTCCGTCGTCGCTGGATCTCGTTCCACTGTTTCCTCGTTTGGCATCACACCTTTTGACAGAAAGTGATATGATATTAATGATTTTCCAACCCATTACATCTACCGTCAAAGGGGTATTTATAGGAGAAACATGGGCTGATCTTCCGATCTTGGGCCTCGTAGGCCCAATCACTATAATGTGGCTAATACATGAAGTAAGCTATACTGATAAGTATACAATAATGTGGGGGAAAAAGATAAAAAAAAGTATACAATAAAGTGAATGTTATCGGCTAGATATTTCTGGCCGAGGTGCACAGGCTGGGGTGCCTTTGAGGACAAGAGATTTTAGTCTTTGTATCCTGATTTCATGGTTTTCTGGAGACTTCTGTGTCGATGGGCCTTGTCTGGCTGAGGGGCTCATCCGAGGTGGATAATCGAGTGGCTACAAGGCACGTTGTATATCCATGAGTACGTGGCCTGTGGGCTCAAGCTCATATACTCTATCAAGAGTTTCCCACTCTCTAAGCCGAGAGACGTCAAGGTCAGAGGGACTGGAGCATTTTGTGTGTTTGTAGTTTGTTTGTTGACTATGTTTCCGGCTTTGGCCAAGGCGTATGCTGTGATACCTTGAAAATTTGAAATAAAAATAAATAAATAAATCAGATAAGTTATATCTGATAAATCAAATGAAAGTAAGATCAAAATATTTTTTTTTATACTTGGTGTATAAAAATATACGCACACTACATGCAATGAAAATTAAACACTTATGTGGCATCGGAAAAAAATAAAATAAAATAAATAAAAATAAAAATAAATCAGATAAAATATATCTGACAAGGTAAATAAAAATAAATATCAAAGTATTATAAGTGACATTTTGTAACATGTAATAATATACATATACACATAAAATGTAACTTGTGGATGACAATCATACACATAGGTGTTCACAATAATACAAATAGAGGTAATAATATATGCAATGAACTTGCGGACTAGACTTAGAATGCATTAGAACAACCAACATTTACACATGCATGTTCATAATACTATGTATAATAATATTGAATAATAATGAAGAAATAATTCAAACCAATCACTCCATGTATGATTCAGCCTAGAATGATCGATCTACAGCTATAAATACAGCTTCCTTCCCATTCTAAATCACCACAAAGTGAAGAAAACGAGTAGAGAATATATATATATACTTACTCGCCGGAAAAATACACATATATAAATTTACGTAAGAAATTGCCTATAAACAAGAGAGGAGGGTCGTGAGAGGTCTAGGAATATTTCCCAATAAATTCCAGACCGATTCGTAGTCACCGGAGCATCCTAGAGGTCGCCGGAGTTGCAAGCCAAGGAAATGGGTCTTCAGCAAGTGCGGAAATTTGGCCGTAGATAGGGGTGGCGGAGCTTCTCCTCGACGTCAGGATCATTTTGCAACTTGAATCGTTTAAATCCGTTACCTGTAAGTAAAGTTATCGCTCGCCGAAGTTTTCGGGATTTCCGGTCGCCGGAATCGCGACCTGGAGAAGCTGGGAAGGAGACAACCCAGTCTTCTTGGGCCGGGTCGCGAATTTGGGCCGGTTCGGCCCATTTTCAATAAAAAATTAAAAATAAAATAGTAAATGAAATAAATAAAATCTGGAAAAATATAAATTAAATACCTGGTATAAAAATACATATTCGGACCAAGAATAATTGAAAAATAATATTTGTAGCTATTTTTAATTGATTTAATTGTAATTGGGCCAAGTTGTACACATTTAGTAAATAATTAACTAAATGACGAAAATAATTATGAAATAAATATGGGTGCAAGCTAGATTAAATATATGACTAAATAGGACATTTGGGACCATTTATAATTAATAAAAATTATAATTAGCATATTTAATTGTAATTAAACCGGTTAATAGATATATGAAATTAAGTGAATAAATAAAGGAAATAATTCTAAAATAAATATCTGGACAACCTAGGTCTAGTATAGACCCAAACTATAGTTATGGATGATTAGTAATTTATAAAAGTGATGATTAAGTTATTTAATTTAATTGAGCCATATAAACTAGTTAAGTAATTAAATAAGGAAATTTTGATATTAATGGTGAAATAAATAAATCACTAAGATTGAAAATAATGTTCTGGACTAAAAATGATGTTTGTAATAAAATAAGGAAAAGAAAATAAAGTTGGGTTATCTAGTATAAATGAATGACTATATTTGGACTTAATAAATAAATTATTGAATTAGTTGACTAATTAAATTAGCGTGATTAAATTAATAATTATTATC